TATCGAAACGATGTTGTGAATCTTCAAAGCGTGTTAAGGTGGGGATTGTCGGTTGTAATTGTCCGTCAATGGCTGAGCCAACAACTTGGTCGATATTAACTTCGCAATTATCAACTTATTACTATAATACTAAGTATACTAGTAGCTATAGCTATTATAGTATGGTAGTCATTAGCTATTCCTAAAGGTATAGTATTATGCTAATACTAGGTAATACTATAGCTACTAGTGTGGGTGTCATTAAAAAAATTGCCTACGGCATTTTTTTAATAATTAAATGACCATAAACCCTATAATCCTAAACCCCAAAGGATTTTCCGCCCCATTAAAAAAAGTGTGTGTACAAACACGCGCATTAAATTTTAAAATCAAATTACAAACAACGCACCATGCCTGGACAAAGATGTACCACCCGTGCGCGAGCATACTGCTTTACAAGCTATGCTGAAACCTGTCCCCTGCCTTCAACTTACCAATACTACATATACCAGACGGAAATGTGTCCCACGACTGGACGCATTCACTTCCAAGGCTTCATATACTTTTCCAATCCCCGGTCTTTCGACCAAGTGCGCAGGGAATTCGGAGGCCTAACACACGTGGAAATCTGCCGCGACATTCCCGCAGCAATTAAATACTGCCAAAAAGAAGAAACGCGGATCGGAGCCCCAATTGAAGCCGGCATAATACCGGAATGTGCACGACAGCCCAACTGGTGGCAAGGACTAAGCATAGCACAACTATGGGAGGAAGAACCCACTTGGATGCTAAAACACCACGGAGCCGTAACGGCATATAATAAACAATTAAAAAAAGTGACCTTTGCAAGACCCAAACCCGAAGTCATCGTCCTCTGGGGACCGCCGGGCACCGGAAAGTCGCATACTGCCCGATCAGTATGTGACGATTACTATGTCAAGCCCGCAGGCCCATGGTGGGACGGCTATTTCGGGCAAGAATTAGTCATCTTTGATGACTTTTATGGATCTGAAAAATTTTGCGACATGTTACGTTGGTTGTCAGAAAATCCAATCAAAGTACCGATAAAAGGATCCATGACCGACCTACTTGCGACAAAATTCATAATCACCAGCAACGTGGAACCAGACCGATGGTATCCCCATGTTGAAAACAAAGAAGCCCTGATGCGCAGAATCACCGATGTCATCTACATGGATAAAATATACAGTCCTGAGTAGGACTCAGTTTTTAAATTAAAACATATAAAGCTATCTAATTAATACTATCTACATCCTTAT